TCAAGTATGGCAAGTGCTAGCATTTCCAAGAAGACCTCGTGACTGTGTTGTCAGAGGCTATGATTGACAAGTGCATGTCAATTCACCTAACAATTTTAACGTTGGTGAAATTGCATTAACCAAGACACTTAATTATAAATGGATTATTCTGAGCTGAGCGAAGACGGAAGAGGGATGCCAGAAGTATAGTATTTTTCATTAAAAATAACACTTTTTTAAGAGGAGTGGAAAGGTAGAAGGTGCAACAACTTACGTAAAAAGAGGAAACGTTATGTTTCCAGAGTACGCAATGCATGCCCACAACCTGCTCTTATCGTATACATATATGATGACTTCTGAATGATAGAGAATACGCGCGATCCAGGTAGTTGCATAGAAGAAGATGGGAAGGCGATCGCTGGGGCCAATGGTTAATCTATTCGACGTTTCGAATTCTCACCGGAGCCCATCGTCAAGAAAAGAAAAACTGTACAACTCATCGCATATTTAGCTTACCTCTGCTAGGGATGACCCCCAGCTGAGCTGCTGATTTGTTCACGCAGTGCTGGATAAGCAATTGGCAGATCGATATGCCGATTGATCGCATCCTCAGTTGAGAGCCACGCTGCTTGAAGCGGGCGCGCAACTCGGTCGTCTGACTGCCCCCATATTCTCACGCTCTCGAAGTCAAAGGCGTGCCCCGGCGAGGAGGCGGGGACAGCTACCAAGGGGAGTTTATCCTTCCGTCTCACAACCAATTCATGCTCGTGCAATCTCGTGCGAACCTGTTTGCCTTTTTTATGATTTCAGAAATTTTGCGTTCTTATGAAGCAATAAAAACAACCTTTCTTCACATTTACTTGACTTTCCAAATGAAACAAACGACATGAATAGAGAAGTGTCTTTGACAAAATGTTCATGCCCATTTTTTCGGCTATAGCAGTAAATACTTCATCGAGAACCCCACACTAACGGAATATAGTGTATTTTCCAAGGGGAGAGAAGAAATCCTTCCAAATTCAAAGTACTTAGGTAACCTTGCAAACGCGGGGTCCATTATATCATCAGAAAATCTCAAGGACGATGAACGTTTTACAACCCAGAATAATAATGTACAAGTCACAAAGGGCCGAAATCACTTTAAAGATCCTGGAAACGGACAAAGGCATTGTTCATCTTCCTGTGGAGAAAGGAGGCTCAACCGGAATTTTGAGTAGAACAGACTTCATCTAGAAAATGTCACTCTTAAGGGATAAATACGCTTACAAACATTTTACTACAGACTCTATTAAAACACAGATTCCATCCATTGACAAAATTTTTGAGTATTTTACAAGGAGAAAAGGGGAGTTGTGGGAGGTTAACTGCTGAATCCTGCTACAATGAATACTGAATGTATCTAAGGACTATCCACAGTCCACAAAACTGACGCCTGGCTGCGCACACAATTACACGATTAACAAATGGTCATGCCGCAAACTCCATCTGTTTACAGTGATTTATGCGACTTCAATCGAGAATTCTGCAGACTTTCCGGACAAACTGTGAGGACTCACATTTACAACGGTTGAACTAGCGGCATCCGTCGATGCCGTCTCTCTTTTTCTTCGCGTCCACAACATTGGATCTGAAAAAGCAATACGCAGGATAACTCCTATGCGCCTATGCATGAAAATCAACTTTACATTTTCACAAGAATGCTATCAACAGTTGAAAGTCGTTTCCGCGAAATCACCTACCTCTGACTCTCCTGCTGAATTAAAAATGCGAAAATTAAAAGCTACGGCCCTACCGCTAAGAAGCCCGAAATATGGGTGCCATGATCGCGACAGCGATGAGGAAGCGTCAGCTGCTCATAAGTTGTAGCCTGGCTCTGTGCGAATTCCTGCCAACAGCTGGTAAGAATAAGCGTTTTTCGCCCAAAAATATCTTGAATAGTTGAGGTAGTATGCAGTCCGAGATAATATGATGAAGATAGAACTCTCGTCGGAATGGACGCACACCGATCCACGGGCATCCCGAAGCAAACAACCTGCGCCAGGTGCTTGTGTTTCCGGTCTCAGCTAGTGGTCAGGGTTATGATTGACTGAATGAAGGTAAACAAGTCCGAAACAGGTCTGTGTCAATCTACCTCCGTGACTCTACCGTCTCCCCTCTGATATATATAAACAAGCCCGAAATAGTTGTGTACCAATCGATCCCCCTCCCAGACTCTGTCGCCCTCCTCTCCTATCGTAGTTTGGCCGACTTTGACCTGGTAGGTGGTTGCCTGTTCATGCCCCTTCCACCCATACGAAGCCTGCTTGGCTCGGAAAGCCAATGAATCACTATACCCCTTTTCCAGAGTGAAAATATGTATATATATATATCCAGCAGCGAGAGGGAACGACAGAGAGCGCGAGTAAATTGATACAATACCGTTTCGGGCTTATTTTTTGCCTGTTCGTGACCTTCTCCACCCATATGGAGCTTGTTTACTCCGGGAAGCCAATACATCGATGTGCGCCCATTCCTGATTGAATATATATATATATATATTATAATGTTAGGGGGCGCTCACCGATCGTTCATACGGAACTCACTCGTTCCGTTGTGCCTTATGGACTCTCTCTCGAGCCCAACCAGCAGCAGCGCAGCGGCGCATGATATATAGGCAGAATGGTATTGCCGACAAAGACAAGGGAGAATGGAATGGCCATTTCTGGCCTATTAGCCGTCGTCAGCCAGTCATACCCAAGCCCGAAGTGTGGAAAACCCGAGCCTCGAACTCGGGACCTGTTGGTTTGAGGTCAACGCCTCTACTCACCGGGCCACGAACCCGTTGCCTTGTCGGTTTACGATCGGGAATATACAATGTTAGGGGGCGCTCACCGATCGTTCATACGGAAATCACTGGTTCCGTTGTGCCCTATGGACTCTCTCTCGAGCCCAACGAGCAGCAGCGCAGCGGCGCATGATATATAGGCAGAATGGTATTGCCGACAAAGACAAGGGAGACTGTAATGGCCATTACTGGCTTGTTATATATATATATATATATATATATATCAGGTGAATAATTTCAGAAATTAATCAATGCAGAACTTGGAGTTAAATCTCCGGGACATGACTTTTTAGGGTCAGAACCGAAATTTTTAATGAACATTTGAGTCGAAGACAATCAACTACTGTGGAATAACCACGTAATGCCCATTCTACAAACAAGTAGTACTACGAGTAGTATGAATTCCATATGGTAAAGGTATTATACCGTACTCCCGACATAGATACTTGCTAAAAGCCCAGACACGTGTTTCGCCGATATTCTGCCGCTGCGTGACACAGCTGCGAGGGGTTCGGCTCTTCAGTGGGACCCCCAGCGTTCTCTAGCGGTTTCTGGTATATGAACTCCTTTACCATATGGAATTCATACTACTCGTAGTACTACTTGTTTGTAGAATGGGCATTACGTGGTTATTCCACAGTAGTTGATTGTCTTCGACTCAAATGTTCATTAAAATTTCGGTTCTGACCCTAAAAAGTCATGTCCCGGAGATTTAACTCCAAGTTCTGCATTGATTAATTTCTGAAATTATTCACCTGATTATTCTCTGGAGTTCATATACCAGAAACCGCTAGAGAACGCTGGGGGT